GCCTGATATCCACTTACGAGGACATTATACTGCTACTGTTCTATCAACATTTTAAAACAAATATCCTCATATGTGGCTCTGATTTTTCTTAAAAACAAAATTAAGTATTACTTTTGTAACACAGTGAATTGCAGTGACAGGTTTGTGCTTCTGTAACAGCTGGGCTGTGATGTAAAGCTCCTGCCTGACACTGAACACTGAGTTAAACAAACCTCTTTAACTAAATTATGGCACTTCTTCGTACAAGCCTCTGAGACGTGAAGCCAGGAAGGTCTTAAACTTGCATTCTTTCTAATGGCCAGCAGGGGGCGACGACTCTGGCTGCAGAGAAGCTGTGAGAAAATCATCACAACTTTCATGTTTGTACACACAATGCTGATCATTCGTTTCATTACAGGAGCAAACCAGTGGGACAAGTCTGAAACAGTCCATATGGAGGCTGTCCAGCCTGCGCCTTCACATGAACAGTCACAGTAGGAGATGTATGCCAGCGCTGTCCTGCTGTGCACATACGTCACAGGACTGAACCCGTATTTTAGGGCAAAGTCAGCACATTTGTTGCTGGATTCGACCGATGATTCTGTTGCTTTCTGTGCCTTCAAAGACGCCTGCCCTGATTCAACGAGTTCAGACCTGAGTGCATGTCAGCCTGTCCTCTCAACAAAACCCAGATCAAACTTTCACACAGATAACCAAACACAACAAAACTGCCCTGCAGGTCTAATATTCTGTGTAACCTTACCTGACCTGTTGCTCGGGCTCCAGGAAGTACTCAAAGACGTTATTCATGACAACAACATCTGTGTTTTGCAGCAGAATATCCTGCGTGCAGACGTCAGCCTGGAGGACCTGCAGAGAGAAGAAACCATCTGTGGCTGAGCGGTCGTGTAGGCGATCATCACGACTCAAACACACAAACCTGAACTCTGTCAGTCAGCTTGTATTTGTGCAGCATGGAGTCCTGCAGCCTGACGAAAGCCTCGCTGATCTCCAGGCCGAGCAGCCGGGACGCCGAGCTGTACACGTAGCCCTGAACACACACACACACACAC